TTGGTGATAGTGCCTGTTAGCAGTAAAGTCAGAAAATGAACTCCATCTCTAGCCTGCTTCCTCAGCCTCTTCCCTCAAAGCCGCATCAGGTTGGGCTGGGGAGACAGTTCAGCCAGTAAAGCGCTTACCGTGCAAGTGTGAGCAGCTGAGCCTGACCCCAGCACATCACCAAAGCTGGGCCTGGTGATGAGCGCTTTAGTTCCCATGCTGGGGAGGCAGAGTCAAGTGGACACCTAGGGCCTGCTCACCAGCCATCATAGCCAAATTGGCAAACTCCACTTCCCAACAGACGCTTGAGATTGACCTCTGACCTCCATCCACACACACGCTATCACAGCATACACATGAACAGGTACACACATTATACACCACACAGACACACACATGTACACACACAGAAACACAAAGGCACACACAGACACACATATACAGACACAAACACACTGTGTTTATACAAAGGGTATGTCCTCACAACATGTCTGGATAGACACAGCCAATCACATAATCACATTGAAATGGGGTGTCCTCTGACTCCGAGTTCCTTCCCATCTTTCGGCCAACCACCTTAGCTAAGTAACCACAGGTGGTCAAGCTTTCTGGCTCACCTGTGGGATAAGTGTCTCACATTCATGATTCTAGACCTAAAGACTCTGAGCACACAGTTCCCCAGAAGTCTGCCTTAAACAGCAGCTGCCAGACTGCTGTGTGATCCTTTCCTGACAGGAGCACAGACTTCATTTTCAGCTGTTTTATTCTTCAGGTACTTATGGAATAAGCTGTCATAAATATGCCGTTCTGGTGGGAGACGTTCATGTCAGCCACGGACCTTTAGATGCGACTTGACCCGCAGAGCAGATTGAGTGGAGACCATGCAGGTCACGTAGGGAACTGAGCCGGAGCTTCTGCCAAATCCCACCATGAGTATCCTGACCACGTGTGGTTATATCTGAACACCCATATATTTATCGGGTTCCTCATATGGCGTTTAAAGTTATTCCACAGTTGTTTCCGAAACTGAACTGGCTGTGGCACGCTGTTTGTCAAGCCAAATGCTGGACAGTGCTGCTGTCTGACAGCTCTCTGAGCCTTGAGCCACTGACCAGCATCCTTGTGTCCTCAAACCAGCCGCAGGAGCCTGGCAACAAGCAGCCTGCTGCTTCCATTTCCCACCCCCACAGGAAGCCTGGTCCTCGTGGGACTCTCATTCTTGCCTTAGTTCTTGTTCTAAAATGCCCCTCTCTAGAGGGGACATGGGAGTTAAATCACTTCTGTGTTTGATTCAGGTTGGATTTTTTTTAGAATAAAGAGAAACCCCGGAGCTGATTTGAGAGTTGCTGTTATCCTACCCTGTGTTTTGTACACTGGAGACATGGACCTTCCTATAGGTGGACAATAAGTTTGACCCATTTCTGAGAGGAGCCAGATTTCTGAATCCCCACTAACAAGAAAGCCCATTGGCTATAATCTAAGTTGTGGGAGACTAGGATGAGTTCCCTTCACTGCCTTCCCTGGAGCACATGGGCCACTTGCCTGTCCTCATCTACACACACACTTTCTTGTAGGGCTCTCTGGTAACTTCCTAACCCCGTCACTGCTGCTCCTCATCAATAAGCCATAGTCAACGTTCCCTTCGCTTGTTTCCCACAGCGGCTCTGTGGTTCATAGAAGCACACAAGTATGAGCGTTATCAGGAGAAACACTCTTGCTGGGGAGTTAGCTAGAGCGTTGGCTCCCGGGACTTCAGGCCACTGTGTAGCCCAGACTGCCTTGTCCTTTAGCTTCTTCCTCTTCGGTTAAGCCCAGACACAAGCAGAACAGAGCGTGAGGCTTTCTGTGCACAGGAAACTGAACTCCGATGAAAAGTGGATCCCCAAGACAGCTTCCCAAGACTCTCAGGTTATTCCTCTTCAAAAGGAAATGGAATGTGAAAAGGACTGTATATGGATTGCATGCATAGTATATGCAAAACTGAACAAAGTAAACATTCAAGGGTGAAATTCAAAGAAAAGCAGGTGCATATGTATTCGGGATGGAACCAAGACTGAGGCATTGGGGAGCCTCTTACTGAATGAAAGGCAATGACTGAGCCAGAGAAGGGAGAGAGTAGATCAATAGACAAGTGACATCATCGGGGGACAAGTGGGAAGGAAGCACTGGAGCCCACTGAAGCTGGCATTTACGGTCCCTGTGAGGGGGGAGCTTGAGCCACCTAGCCAGTGGGACGGAGCAAATTCAGGCACTAGCTTGATCTCAGCAGTTACCTACTTAAATCTGTAAACGGGACGCCTTCTAGTTAGCGGACATAGATACTAGGAAGTCCCAGTTACGTGTGTCAGTGTGGTTGGGTACCTCTTCTAGCATCCACCATTTGCTTTACTAAGGGTCCATCATTTGTTTTATGTTGATAATTCACGTGATTTAAGGAGTTTGACCCGATTTTGTTTTGTTTTCTTACATGTCTTGGTTTATGCTTTTCATGGTTTTTGTTAATTTTTGGAGATAAGAGTGTTCTATGTAAGAGCTGGGTTGTTTCTTATGCCTGTGCTGATTGCATGTTCTCTGTTGATGTCTTGTCCCTGATCTTGACACTGGCCGTCGTGTCTGTGACAGGAGGTGCCGCGGCGGGCTTGCTTGATCAGAAGAAAGGGAAGTTTGCTTGGTTTAGTCACTCTACAGAGACCCATGGTAATGTCTCCTATGCTCGCTGTGTGTAAATGTGTATTGTTCCATACAGATTGCATGGGAGAATGCTGCTCTTGATATCTGGTGTTTGTGTGTGTGTGTGGGGGGGTGTATGTGTGCACAAATATGTGTGCTCTTCTGTTGGTATATGTTTGTATGTGTGTGTGTGTTTGAGGGGAGGACCACTGACCCTCATCTCCTCCACTGGATAGAGTCAGCAAGCTTGACAACCAGCACCAACTGTTCCCTGATAGAAGATGGAGTCATTCCTTTAGATAGTGACAGCCAGAACCAGTCACTGTAAATACAGAATGAGCCCCGGTACTGGAAGTACCTTGACTTTAGAGGATATGCTTACTCCTAAGACTCAGGCTGCTTGTTCCTAGTTTTGGTGGCTTCTTGAGCCTAGAACCACTACTCCCGCACCAGCCTACTCCCATACAAGGGGTTCTCTGACAGCCAAGTATCAGAGTCAAGCGGCTTCTACATAGGGCTCAGACCTCCCAAGAATGACACCCGGAGTCCTGGGTGACTAAAGATAAATGAACTGAAAGGCGAAGTACTTCTCACTGTTACAGCTTCTCATTTAATGTGGATTATCTACAACCCATGGAAACCTCTGAAGGCCCCTATTCCCGGTCCCCAGTGCTAAGCTACCTCAAATGACTAATCCCATCCAAAGGCCTTAGGCTGTGGTGCCACTGTTATTGCTATAAAACTGAACATTGCTGGACTGTTCTATGCCATCCAGTGGTGTTCCCAGAGCCTGGCTCGGCTTCCCTATCATTGACTTATCCTAGATGTAGAGAAAGACTTGGTCTACACTGGAGCAGTCAAGGTGAGCATGGGGCAGGGACAGTGCCCAATCCCTCGCCCTTTCTAGGTGTGCCATGTGACCTTGACCGTCATACCCGTTCTCTGGCCTCACTTTCCTCTCCTGTAACATAGAGTCGGGTAATCTCTGTAGTTTCTTCCAGCCCTTAGTATCTTTTTCCTCAATTTGAGGCAGAATCTTAAGTCCAAGAGAACTACTCCATGTGACAGTCAGAACATAGTAACTCATGGGTTTCCTCTTTATGTCTTCCGTTTTGTTTTGTTTTTTTTAAGTGAAATTCTTTTCATCCACCTGACTTGCCTTAAACCAGAAGAAAAGGAACTGGGAAAAGTGCACCACCATCCACATCACCGTGTGACCTAGGGATGGTGGCCCATGGGAACTTGTCACTAGCCCACATTCCGACTAGCCATAGACACTGTGGCTGCCAAGGGCTGGTGATTTCTTACTGGATGAGGTTTATTCTGGAGGGAGTGCTGGTCCACATTGGTCTAAAGAAGGAGTGATAAAACCAAGGAATTCCCTGGGAGTTGTGGTACACATCACTAATACCAGCACTCAGGAGACTGAGGCAGGGGAACTGAAAGTTTGAGAACAGCTGGTAATATATCATGACCATATCATCCACACACACACACACACACACCTACACATATATGGATTCATATTATATTAAAAGGATGATGGCAATTCTGAAAAACTCTTTGAGCTAAACTTTTAATTTCATAGAATAAATGATACTGGAAGAATTTATCTCTTCTAAGCCACCATGTTGAGTCTAAGCTAGAAAACTCCCTCTGGAAATCTAGCCTGCTGCTGCCATGGTGAAAGATGCTGGACATTGCTTGGGCAGATCGGCTCCAGGAGAATCAGGTCACTAGTATCTCTTGTGTCTGCCCTGTTGTGTGAGGCTAAACCCATGAGTTTGACAGTGTCTGGTTACTTCAAGCCCAGCACCTCAGGTCGGCCTTAAGTGTCACTGCTTTATGACACAGTGCACTGCAGAAAAATAATGCCCTCAGATCCATCAAAAAAATTTTTTGAGTAGCAAAAGTGCCCTTCCTGCAAACAAGCTAGGCTCCAGTCTTAGGTTGGAGCTGGCAAGGGAAAGAAAGAGGGCAGCGGAGTCTTGCTTTAAGGGCTTCTCTCCCTGTGCTAAGTTGACGATGCAAATGGAAAAGTTCCCTGCCTTTCTGGGACTACGAAGTTGAGGGCAGATGAAGGATGCCACCATCCTTCTTTCCCAAATGCGTCCTGTGAGGTCTGATCACCAGAGTGCCCCCACATCCCCGCTCATCTGCAGAGTCCTGGCAGCTGTCTTGCCCAGCCGGATGAGGACAGTGCCAGGACCAGGCCCCCACAGACAGGCCAGCATGTGGTGCCCGGCCAGCCCCGGGTTAGAATGGTACGATATACACTAATACTCTTCTCCTCTTTCTCCCTCCCTACCCTTAATGCCTTCTGTGCCTCCGTTCCCTCACAGTGAACATGCCCACAAGTGAGACTGAGTCGGTCAACACTGAAAATGTGGCTGGCGGGGACATCGAAGGCGAAAACTGTGGAGCCAGGCTTGCGTAAGTACCCATAGCAAACTTAGCGCAGAGTTCTTCCTAAGACATGGCCTGGGAAGCTGGCTCGTGGAGTCCATTGGGGTGGCTCCTCACTGCAGGGGCAGAATCAGAGCCATGGTTGACAACCTGTGCCCTGTGTGGAGAGAGAAGTGGCCTGGGATGAAGCATGGCCTCGAATATGGTAGTCGGCTCTTCACATTGAAGCTTTCACTTCTGTGAGGGCCACCAAACTTGGATGCTGGAGCCTTTCAGCCCTCCAGAGAAGTACAGAAGTAGGGTGCTCTGATGTCTCTTTTTTTCTTTATTCCCTATCATTTATATTTTTTTCATAAGAGCCAATAGATCAGGTCCTTGTAACTACATGGTCATCCTTTCTATTCTGACAAACATGGCCTCAAAGTAAATCACCAGCTAAGAAGTCCACTGCCCGGGGATGATCCTCATCCTGTGCAGCTCTGAGCAGCCCTCCTAATGATGGAGAACCAGTGCCTGGTGTACCACCTGGAGTGTCCTCAGCATAGGAGGTAGCAATACTGAGCATCCGAGCCTTCCTCCCAACCCCTGGCTGCCAGGAACCTGTGACTTAGCCAGATAAGAGTGCTGTTGTCCATGGGCGCATCCACATCCATGACCCTCACTCCCTAAATGGAGGGGGAAATGATTTCATTACTAAAAATGGCAAAACCAGGTTGGTTACTAGTGTCACAAAAGCAGAGCCTGGGAACAAAGAGGTATGCCACTAGGTAGAATATGCCCACTAGGTCGCCACGCCCAGGCTTCACTTTAGGAGGCCATGACCGCTTTTCCTCTGGCCAGGAGCATGACAGCTGTAACCTAGTCTTGACCACTGAAGCAACTGCAGAGAGAAAGCTCTGGGCAGGATTAGCCCAAGTAAAATGTGTCTCCAAATGCTCCCCGGTAGAACAGCACCTTCCGGTGTAGCGTGACTCACTGCCAGGCCGGTCCAGCCTCCTCACGACAGTAGCTGCAGGCGAATCTGAGTGTGCCTGGGAGTGAGCCAGAAGAGGGAGGTGAGCAAGACTGAGGAGCAGTGCAGCCCGGTTCCAGGGTATGCGGGGCTGTGGCATCACTCACTGTGACAGTGGCACCAGGGAGTCTGCACTGCAGACTTCTCAGCGCTGTCGCGAAGCAATTATTGTCAAAGTGTTGTTAAAATATGGTGCTAATTACATCTGTAAGCAGTACTCCTGGCCCTTTCTCTTCTTTTCTCTTTTGGAATTCTACAAAATAGCACTCGAGTTTCTAGAAGTGGCCCCAGATAGCAATGATAGGGGCAGGCATATGGGGCCCTTCTAGCCCATAAGTTCTAGGTCCTTCGGCTTGCTTGACATCAAGGATGGGGAGTTTGGAGAAAAGATCATCAAGGTTATTACAGCGCTGGCTTTGGGGCAACATGGCCCAAGGTATAAACCAGGAGGGGCCAGGGAGCTGGTACCAGGAACTCACTGTACAGCACATCCTCAGAATCCATGATGCTGACTGGAAAGCAAACACGATTGTCCCCTGTGGAGGGAAACTGGTGTCACTGGCCTGTCGGTCACCTCCTAGGAAGATGTGCTCTGCTTCGAGGCTGATCTTATTCCTACACATACTGGGGTTGATAAACATCTACACTGTATACAAGGGATACGATTGTGGTGCCAGAATTATAACATGCACTTCATCCTCTAGTGTCTTTCCCCATCACCAGCAAGACAGCGTTGAGCTAAGATAGCCACTGTGCCCATCAGTGAGTCGGCCTGAGAAGAGAAGCAGGCTGAGGGCAGAGTGAGAGATCATTGCTTTATATCCTCTGAGTTAAAAGTCTTGAGGTCAGGACTAGAACTTGCATGTAAGGAGAAGGCTGGGGTAAAGATGTCGTGTGGGTGGCAGAGGGGTGCGGAAAGAAGGACATCACTTATGCAGTGACAAGGGAAGAGACAAAGGAAGGGCTCACCAAAATTTGATAAGACAAATTGATACCAAGGCCAAAGCAGGATTGGAAGAGGAGGTCCAGTCTAAAGGTTAGGCAGGTGCTGTGTACAGCTGGGTGAGGAACTCTGAGGTTCAATTCTCGGTAGAGATGGAGACTGGCATTTGCGGCCACTGATAAATCACAGTTTGTTCAGAGAGGTGCAGGAAGCAGGAAACGAATACCAAACTTGGAGAAACTGACACACAGAGTATACAGAAGCAGGCAAACGGACAATCATGCTGGGGGATATGGGAGGGAGATGTGTGAGGGAGATGTCAGGAAAGCCCTCTTTGGGAGAGCCTTCATGGCGGTCACACCCTGTGCTGTTTCGTAGAGATAATAGTCATCCAGAAAAGGAGCACTGACTCCATGAAGCTGACCATCTAATGTGGAAGACTAGAAATCAGGGTGTTGTGGTGCGTAAAACAATGAAATGTGTCCTCAATAGCGGAGAGTCCTGGTTTGGAGAAAACTAAGGGCCAGCGTGTGTGTGAGGAGCGGTATTTCAGGGGCAGGGCAAAGACGAGTAGGCTTCGCAGTGAGCTTCGTCTTTGTTATAAAACAGTAAGAACACAGAGCATGTGAGGAGGTCTGTTCCATGTCTTGTGCTCTCGAAGGATCATCTTGACATTAGGAGCCATTAGGAAAGAGGCTAATATACAGATGAAGCACCCCCTGTGGCTGCTCGTGTATGGGGTAATGGCGACCTCAGGTAGACTTGTAATGGGGAAAAGAAAGAATACACCGATTGTCAATGTCTCCTGGAGCTCTCTACTCTAAGGAGACTGGGGGTATACTGACTCTGGGAGCCACTCTCTGCGAGGGGAGGGTGGAAGTGTGTCAGTGCAGGGCACCCACCAAAACACTGAGGCCATGCAAAGGCCTCTTTAGAAATGGAATAGGGAAAGGAGAAGGTGCCACAGGAATAAAGGGATGGCATTCACTACCATCAGGGGGATCTTCAAGGCGCTGAGAAGCCAGAGAAACTCAAGAGGCTAAAGAAACTGCAGAGGAATTGAACACAGGAAGTCGATTTCCTCTGCCTTGGAAAATGAAAGGGAGCTAACACCAGACCTCAAGCAAGCACTCTCTCTAGGCTCCTGCAGAAGGCAAGGCTGGACACTGCCTTCCAGGGCTACTTAAAGGGGCAGCACATCTGGCTCCATGTGCAATCACAAATGACTAAGGCACCTGTGAGATACAAATGGGAGCACCACCAAGGGACCACTAGGTGTGCAGCTCTGGCCATTCTGGAGACCGACACTGTTGATGTAGACTTGGCATCTTTGAAATATGTTCTTGGTACTTTTTATAGCCTAAAAGCACTAAAAGATATATATGTGAATCACTAAAAATCATGTGAATCTAGGTGGGGATTAGCCACAGTGACCCAGCTACAGGTCAGATGGGTCATCTGCCTGATGTCAAGGGTCACATGAACATCACTGAAGGCCAAGCTGAACTAGAAGTCAAGTCTATTGTTTGCCTGGGAGCCTTGGAAGAAGCAGAGTGGTCAAGAGGATCCCCTACAGGCAAAACCCGTGTTCCAGGAAGGAGGTTCTGGCTAGAAATGGGGAGCAACTGGGTTTAGCACCCGATAACTGGAGCGATGTTCAACTTCAGCAAACCCCAGGATATGTCCCCTCTCGCCATAACAACTAGGGTCGTGATCAAGTTGTGGGATTAGAGAAGCTGAGTCAGCTGTCCTTCAGTGCATGCTGAAGGCAAAATGAGAGCAATTCAGGAAAACACTCTTCCACTGCAGGTATTAAGTATGAGGTACTTACGGCCCGAAGAAGGAAGGGGAAGCCAAAAACGTGAACGGCTTCCAAGGAGTTCAGATATTTGTCAGATAATGATCAAAATACAAAGCGAATAACTAAAAGGGAAAATGGTTTGGGAGTTGTCTCAAATTTTGAATGCTAAAACCAGGGAGGAAAATCTTGGTCTTCCAGGTTGGTCCTGGAGGTTCATGTGAGCACATGCGGATAAACAGACTTCAGTCCCCGCCCAGGGGTGTATTTTGGAGGTCTCGTGTGACAGCTAGTTATTAACTTCCTCCCCTTCCTTGCCTTTAACAAATCCACTGGAGACATGAAGTAGGGATGGTGTTGCACTTGTATATAAATGATAGAAAAAATCCAGAAACTCCGGAGCAAGCTGCTCATGCCCATTGGGGGTTGGGTACACTGAAGGCTTCTGCTGTTCCCAGGACTCTGCAGTCTGCACGGATATCAAACATCAGTGGGAGGCAAACATGCTAAGATGCTCACTGCTCTTTGGCTCCTCTCTCTACAGTGAGAACAGCTGTCCAGAGATGGAGTCTATCACTACCCCAAGGAGACAGTGGGCCGCAGGCAGTAGTGCCCTATTTTGTGAAGTCCTGTAGCTAACTGCTCCTATATTCAGGGAGTGCTGAGGAATCAAAGTCTTTAACCTTATTAAAAGTTCTAATCCCAGCTCTTCGAGGACCCACTTGAATGCTAGTACTCCTTTCCTATATGCTGCTGAGGGTCAAGGAAATATGCTTCTATTAAAACAAAGGGATATATTGGATACAGAGAAGACAAAGTCATGCTCACAGGCTCCTGCAAGCCAGAAGAAGCCTTCTTCATGTGAGGTGTGCAGGGTTAGACATCCGGACTCAGAGCCAAATAAGCAGGAGGCTCATGGACCATTTCCTTTGGACCAGAGAGTCCAAGGACACCAAACAGTGGCCACACATGAACGAGGATAAATTCTCACTCAGCTCTGATCTCCCTTTATCCCATATCACAGATTCATTTTCTTAAGAGAACTCCCAAGTTCCTTGACAGGGAGTTTCTAAGGTCTCAGTTGTGACTTTAATTGAACAAAGCGTCTGAGCTGAGCCAGGAACCACTGAGACCCTCTGCAAGAAAGCCTGGAACCAATACCGCAGTCTTAAAGATCCCTGAGCTCAGCACGTCCTTGCTGCAGAGAGTAGCCTGCCTCCCTGTCTCCATTTAGCAGCTAGCAAACATTTCATCCCCCATTAAACGGTGACTCTGGATGAAAAGATGCTGCCCTGGGCTCTAGGTCCCCCTCCCACATGCTCAGTTAACATGTGATTAAACCCTGCAGCCTAGCAGGCAGTCTTGGGGGTGGAAAAGGGTTCTTAGCTAACAGTTCAGAGCAATAAAGGCACTTGGCTCAGCTTCCCAGTGCCCTGGAGACATAATTATCTCATGCACGATGGTTTTGCCACCTGTCACATCTTCTGCTTTATTTTTTTTAATAATAAAAAAAAAACAAGAAGGGTTGATGTTTTCTTGTTACGAGACATAGCTTGCTTTTTGCTGACTGGGACAACATGGCTCCAAGCAGTCACCTTCCAATGTCCCTACAAGAGTCTCTGGTCATTGTCATGTCTCATTTGAACTCTGTTCTTTGTGGCCATTTTTACTTAGTTATTTTTGTTTTAAAATTTTTATTCATTTTACACACCCACCACAGTCCCACCTCACTCCCCTCCTCGTGTTCTAACCCCACTCCCTACCCCAATCCATCCTGCATCCTCCAAAAGGGTAAGGAAGGCCTCCCATGGGTAGCCAACAAAGCCTGGCACATTAAGTTGAGGCAGGACCAAGCTCCCTTCCCCCCGCCAGCATCAAAGCTGAACAAGGCATCCCCCTAAAGGGAATGGGGCCCACAGAGCCAGCTCATGCACGAGGGATAGATCCTGGTCCCACGGCCAGGGGTTGTGGGCATTTTTAAATTTAAACTGATTTTGTTTGAGAATTTCTTGCATGAGTACTGTATTTATATCATCCTCACTCTTCTCCCCTTTCAGCACCTTCCATATCCCTCCTATTCCTCTCAATCTCAGGAACCCATTCTCTTTCATTATTACTGGTATATATTTATAAATATGTGACCCGCTGAATCCACTTAACTATTGCTAATATGCAGTGTGTTTAGAGCTGACTTGGGATTGGATAACCTGTCAGGGACCTCATCCCTGGAGAAGACAGATTCCCCCTCTCTTAGCAGCATTGGTTGCCTGTAGTTCTTCATTTCAGGGTGGGCCTTCCTGAGATTTCCCCCATCTGCCCTGGTGTTGCCATTTTACAAGTCTGGCCATGGCTGTCTGAGTAGTCTCGGTCAACCTGCTATTTTGTCTGTGTTCCCCTTTCTCTCAGGCTCAAAGCTAAGCTGGAATGTACCTTCAAATATTTGGGGGTTTTTTTCCAAAATGTTTTGTGTTGGTTACTTACATACTCCTTCCTCCTCTTCCTATCTCTTCCCTTTCTCCCCCTTCTCCTTCCCTCTCTCCCTCACTTTTCTGTACATTAACAAGCCTCTCTCTTGCCCTCTCTCCTACTGCTAACTCTGTGTAGCTTTCCTGGAATCGGCCCTAGATCGGCAGGACAGTCCCACAGCCTCCCTGGAGGGAACTACCTAATCTGTTCTAGATGGGCAGGACAGTCCCAGAGCCTCCCTGGAGGATGCTATCTAATCTGTTCTAGATGGACTGGACAGCCCCACAGCCTCCCTGAGGGTAATACCTTTCAGTACACAGCGATCCTTCAAGGCAGGTGTTGTCAGGACACTCCACCTGTGCTTAGATCTCCAGAGCCACACCCACCTTCAGTACATGCAATATCCCTTTAGAACCTGAGGCTATGTGTTCAGATCTAGCAAGCAGCTCTGAGCTAGGAAAGCAATGACCTTCCCTCAGGCTGTCTCAGGTGGCCTCACGTGCGTCCTAATCCAGCTCTGGTAAAGATCCTGGTGGACCACAGTGAGCTCTGTGCCCCGAGTTCTCTGTTGTCTGCAGGAGAGACTTTCCATCTGCCATGGCTTTCCTCAAGAGGTGCTGTGCTTAGCAGATCATGGAGATTGTGGGCAGACACAGATCCTGTCAGGACTGTATGCTCACCTTTCCTGTAAGCGTCACCACACTTTAGAAGATACTAGGTTTGTAGATGTCCGCTGGGCCAGCCACATTCAAGTGCACAGAGTCTAGGTTTGTAGATGTCCACTGGGCCAGCCACATTCAAGTGCACAGAGTCTAGGTTTGTAGATGTCCGCTAAGCTAGCCACATTCAAGTGCACAGAGTCTAGGTTTGTAGATGTCCGCCGGGCCAGCCACGTTCAAATGCAGAGCGTTCATTCTCTGCAGTGTTATCACTAGCCCCGCAAACCCTTCCAGTCCCCACATAGTCCTGGGGAACTCCAAATACCTCGGGGACGGCTAAACACTCTTTATGTGGAAGAAAGTACCTTGTCTTTGCTAATATTTCCTTTTCCTCTTTCAGCCACCGGATCTCCAAATCCAAGTTCAGGTGAGTGAGATGCAGATTGCTCCCCTTCCCTTCTGCCCCTCTAGCTACATTCCGAGCAACAGTGTCAGATGACCAAGGTAAGTCCCATCAGCTTGGGCCCTTCTGGGGGTGTAACTGCTCCCTTTGATATGGGAGTTCACAGTTTGGTCAAGGGAACTACCTCAAGGATTGAGACTTAGGTTCTCTTGGGTAGGCTCTGAGTGGTTAGAACAAACGTGTCTACTTCCTGTATAAGATAAAGTCGGTTCAAATAAATGTGTGAACATTTGTTACTACTTGGCATATGGCACAACTTTAAGGATTATAGACAGAATATAGATTCTGCCACTGCTTTGAGACGATATCAGAAGCTTCCAGAATATCCACCCTGTGGCTTGCCTGTGGGTGCACATCTTCCCACTACATGCAACTCCTTGCAGGTCCCAAATGTTCTCTACTCTCTTGCACACTAAGACTTTTGTGGGGCTTTTCCTCCACCAAATTCACCATCTATGTCTCTATCTGGAAACGTCAGGCTTGTCAATCAACTCAAAGGTTACAGCATCTGTGGCACCCTTGGCCCACTCCCAATGAGACTAAAATGGTCTTCCCTTCATCCTCCATCCCTGCGTGCTCAGCCACACCCTTCTCCTAGAACTTACCGTATTACACTCTAGATATTGATTCAAAGGCCTGATGCCTCCATAGAATTTTGCACACTGCAGGCTGCTCAGTGCCTACCTAGCTACCCCACGGGTGGACTCTGCGAGCTCCCTGACTGCTTGACTGGTTATATATCTAGGATGGGAATGCACATTTAATTCTACAAAACCTATACATGGGCTAGCCTGGCATACAGCAGGTCTATCTGGTTTGGACATACCCCACTGTTGAAAGGAAACAGCCTGTTGGTTTCCCAGCAGCCTGGCAGCTCAGCCCTGAAATAACCATTCAGAAACTGTATTGATGAAATCACTGCTTGGCCCATTAGCTCTAGCTTCTTATTGGCTAACTCTTATATCTTAGTTTAACCCATTTCTAGTAATCTGTGTATCGCCACAAGGCTGTGGCTTACCAGCTAAAGTTCCAGCATCTGTCTCTGGTGGGGCTACATGGCCTCTCTCTGACTCTGCCTTCTTTCTCCCAGCATTCGGTTTAGTTTTCCCCACCTAGCTCTGTTCCCTTACAGCTATGCTATAGGCCCAAAGCAGTTCCTTTATTAACCAATGATATTCACAACATACAGAGGGGAGTCCCACATCACGTTACTACAAGCCATGTCATGTGCCTACACCACACCCCTCTAGTCTTGAAATCTCCACTGTTCTCTGACTCCCAAGCTTTGTGGTCCTCTGTTCTCCCTCCCTTCACACTTTCATGTCTCTCATAGACCATAACTGAGCTCTGAGAACCAGAAGCCCCAGAGCGCATCCTCTAGCTACCTACATCCCCCTCTCTCTGAGAACCAACCAGATAGAGTGGTAGGTTAATTATTGACATTTCTGGAAGAGCCTGAAGAGCCTGTCTACAAGCCCCAAATCCTTAAGCCCCCCCATGACATCCAGGTGTGTGTTTCTAAGCATCCAGGTGTTTCTAAGCAAGTCCCTCTAACTTCATGACATTCAAAACCCAAGCATTAAGATTAAGTGAGGACTTCAGTATTTGACTCCAATTCCAATACCTCCTTTCTCCCGTCTTCTATTGGGATCTGAAAATACAGGTTTCCTTCCCCCATATTGTTCTTTCAAACCAAGGCCTCCTTAGTATAAACATCCCGGGTCAGATCTACCGGTGCTGGCTTTTATTACATGAAAGGGAGCTCTAACACACAAGAATCCTCTCTAGATCTCCCCTCTTCATCTCCTGCATGTGGAAAAGTAGCTGATGTTTAATAAGAATTCTGTAATATTTATGGATAGATCAATGGATCGATGGATTGATGGATCACCTGGTCTTGATAAGACAATAAACTTGACAGACGTTCAAACAAATGTCATATTTGACAAGTACATGTTACTCTGAACAGTTCCAGGGCCCCCACACAGTAATAGTAAAGAGATTAAATTTTACAGTGAAAATATTTTCCAAATTCTATTCTCGCTACATGCAAATGAGGAAATCATAGTTGAATGAATGGATAAACACAATCTGGAGACTTGTGCAGAAGATTCCATGCGTGATGGACACTCTTGCATTATCAGGAGACCAAAACCTTTGAATTGGGCAATCTATAGTGTTAGGTATGTCCTTGAAAGTTACAATCTTTTGATCCTTGGGACTTGGTCCACTCTGCATCTCCCAGCCACAGGGCTCTAATTGTTTACATTCAGGAGTGGGTGCTTCTCTCTGTATACTTCCAGTTTAAGGGAAGTGCGGAAATGACCTTGTATTCACAAATGGCTTCTTGTCAGTGGGTTGGCACTGTCACTAACACCTGTAGATGATACCTGAGGCAGAAAGGAGCCCAGAGTCACGGCTGGAGATGGTCTCAGCCATCCTGCAGGTCGAGTCCTGGCTGGTGTACTGAACCTGTTTCTCTGCACGCTTTGAAAATTATTCTAGTGGCCATGTCAAGCAGTACAGTGGAGCAGCAGGAAAGGAAACATTTTTATTTAAAGCACTGCAATGAAAACATTGTCATTTCGACAGGAATTAACATGACACGTTTTAGTGAAATGGTTTCTGTTCTTTGTTGCACCATGACTTTTTGCAACTTAGCGTGTACCTTACATGTACTATGTGTAGCCGGGCCGTGGTGGTGCACGCCTTTAATCCCAGCACTCGTGAGGCAGAGGCAGGCAGATCTCTGTGAGTTCAAGTCCAACCTGGTCTACAAGAGCTAGTTCCAGGACAGGTTCCAAAACTACAGAGAAACCCTGTCTCGAAAAAAAGAAAAACAAAAGCAAACAAACATTTACTATGTATATCTTAGTTTGGATTGGTCATATGTTGCTAGAGGCTATCACCCCAGGCAAGGGGGTTCTAGGGATATTGAGCAATACTATAAGCAGCTTGCTAACCTAGATCCTGATGGTGTCAGGTTAGAGAACAGCTAAAGCTGGTAATGGATTGAAAATGCTCCCAGAATTATCAACATTTCCCAAATAGTTTTCTCAGTTGGGGAAACAATTTAATAGTGACAGTAATAGAATTTGAGCTTCAAATGGGCCTATTTTAGGTGCAGGACCGGATGATACAAAGTTATAGTTAATTTTCAGAGAATGGTTGAATAGAGCTTGCAGGAAAAAAAATGAGACAAATTAGATGATAGTTGGGTTTTAGATAATTCAGGTTTTCAAGTAAAGGAAAATAAAGAATTGGCTACATTTGAGACTCACTATGCATCATTGATCCAGAGGCCTGTTGGAGTCTTTCCTAGCACAACTATGCAGAATTCAGAGCAAATCGCATGGAGTTCCAATGTGAGGACTCTCCAGGCCTAGTCTTCAGCAGGAACTGCCTTCCACCTCATTGTAGTTCTGCTGTGCCGTGAGCAACCAGGCATAAACCCAAGTCCACCCCAGTCTTTGCAGCCCATTTTTAGGCTACTTACTCATAAAAGAATTAAATGTAGCAGTTTTTCTCTGCTGTTTGTTTCCAGTTCTGCTGAAGATGGAAACTTGCTCCAGCTACCAGGCGGCCTGCTGTGTCCACTGTTTCCTAGTCTCGGTCTTGTCAGCATTTGCATGATGAGAAATCCAGTTTGAGAGCATTGTCCTTTCACCTTCCCGAGGCCAGGGGTTTTTAAGATTTGCCTTTATCGGGGAGTTAGACCTGGGGCATCCATGTCATGTCTCACACAACCTATAAGCCAGCATCTTACTGTATGAAATGAACAGTGCTTAATACTATGGGTCTGTAACAAAATAGAAGAAGTGGCCCCTGCTTCTTTGGGATCTGATTATCTCAGTAAAGAATCATGGGCCATGCATTAAAGTTAACTGCTTATACCAGGCAATGGAAGGCCTCTACTGGGAGAAACTTCTCTGGGTGCCTCCATGGCTGCACAAGATGTGATTTGGGGACACCACTGCAGAGTTCCTCAGCATGTAGCATGTTCATGTACCCTGCTGTACCCTGGCTGAGCTTTGTGCTGAGAAGGACTGAATCTGTTAGCAGTTGATACCTTGTCCATAGCAAGTGGTGTTAAATACACAAACAAAATGTGTAAAGCAGACAGGCTCTGCAGGGATGCTGGGAATGGAAGAGCAGAAAGTCCACTGCAGAGAAGCTGGGGTTTGAGTTGAACCCTAAAGATGAGCAGGACCGAGAGGATGGGACTAGAAGGTGAAAGCCTTCATAGTTGGAAGCGTGTTTTGTGTTTCTAAAAAGAGTGCAAAGCCCTGTGGTGGGGGTGGGGTGAAGATAAGCTGAGCCGAGGGAGAGCGAGCAGAGCACAGTGCTGCAGACAGTTAAGTACAGAAGACACAGTCACTTCCATCCTTCTCCCCTGCTTCTGTGTTTCTAGAGTAAATGGCTTCCAGCTACTGCAAAGAGAACATGAATAGCAGGCAAATTTCTCCTCCCTGTTTTATCATTTAATATCCTCTGTGCATATGTAAACACATAAATAAATTTACACATTCTAATAAACTATTACATCTATTATATAGTAGGAAGTGTTGCCAGGAAACCAGCTGTCAAGCAAAGCTACATTTGAAGAGTAGGAGATGTACAATTATCTTTAAATACTTTCCCTGGATAGTAATTACTCCCATCCCCACCACAATCCCAAATCCATGTGATTCTCCAAATCGGCTCTGTGCAGTAGCACCCACATCTAACAGAGCTGGCCAAGAGCAGTTCTAGACCCATGTGATAGGCCTGACTTTACAACAACCCGTGTTCACTACTGTAAACGAGAGAGGGATGGTCGGGGTAAATTCTCAGTCAGTTTCTACCGACTGTAAAAGCCACCTTTGTAGCCTGTATGGCAACTATCAGTGGTCTCTACAGTACGGGATTGGGTCTATTTTAAAACATATCTTTGCAATTAATATATGTTTTTTAAATTATCCTATAATATTATTGATCATAGGAAGAAGTAGAGATGTGTTCTGATAACACAGGACTATGCAATATCAAGTTCAGGCAAATATAATAGGCTGTCTTTCATTGCAACCACCTGGGACTCATTGTCCCAGCTCCCTTGTCCCTCTCCATATATCCCCCATCTCCACACTTGCATGTGGCATGAATAGATGTTTCAAGCACCCTGAAGGGCACTTACAGATTAATGTCTGTCTTGCATGGTACATAGTGAATTCCCCAAAGCACCCACTAAGCTGAGTGTCTCCTGCAAAGATGGGGCATCCGGTGAAGGATAGATCATGCCACAACACTGAGGCTGATCTATCTGTCCTTCTGCTTGCAGGAAGACCAAACCATAGACGCCTTGGTAGTTTTCAGGGAAGAATCCAAGTTCTTAGATTGCCCCTGGTTCTTCCATCCTCACTGGAGAATTCAGCTAAACCTTGGTAACAGGATTTTCCAAGGAACAACAGGGACAAAAATAGCAGTGTTAGAGTCATAGATGAAGACAAGCTGCCCAAAAAGGCAATGTGGGCAACTGGACATAACTATTCATATAGAGGTCTGTCTCCCCGGGACCACAGAATACAGTCTGTCCTTGGCATGAAGCTGGTGATGGTGAAAAAGGTCTCCCTCAAGGAATAGAGAGCTGAGTTTGGGGACAATGTATGTATGTATGTATATATATATATATATATATATATATATATATATATATCCGTTCCCACTTGTGGCATGCTTGCCCATACTGCTGTGGGATGCTGAGGACCAACCATGATTTTTCACCAGATACACACCAGTACAAGTCTACTACATTTTCTCTATGATTTCTCTCACCAGAGACTGCAGATATGGACTAATGACACAGACTTACTCAGAATGTGGAACTACAGGCCAATTTTATTGCCCTAAAATAGAAGGCTGATTTTTTTTTTTTGCATCTTGGCCCAGGACACACACACACACACACACACACACACACACACGTGCGCGCACGCACTAAGGATTTTATTCAAGCATTTCTAACTACTTCTTTTGAATATTGCTATGATATTTTCATTCTGCCTCTTTTTTCAGTGTCAATCACAGCCTATCAGATAGTGTTCCAGTCACTACTGGGATGCAGAATGGGGTTTGCAGATCTGCTGCAAGCAGGTCCTGCATGCTTGCTTAGAGGCCTAGACTGGAAGTTACCACATGTAGAGTGCAGGTCCCTGAGACTGCTGCACCAGGGAGTCCTTGTCTCACTTCCTCCTTTCTCTTTTACCACCTGAGCTGAGGCTCTGCATGCCTAGGGATCTTTCTGCATACCTGCCCACCACCACCCCGCACCATTGCCCTTCTTCCAACATCCTCCCTTCCCAGAGTACTCCCGTCTGGCTTTCAGTTGGTTGTAAGTGTCACACCCCCAGAACACCAGGTAGGCATGTTGGTGCCCCTCTGAGTATGTTTCTCTCCTCTTGAATTCCAGTCTCCTGTTGCCTCTGCTTCCAGTCTGCTATGTCCTCGCTGTCCTTTGTGACACGAATAACGTTTTCCTTACATCATCACTAATCCAGACAGCTGGAGCTGTCCCCTGGGTTCCACCTTGATCTAGAAGCTCACCAGGTGTTTGTATCGGTTGATGTCTTGTTTTCTGAAGTAAAATCTGATCATGTGAGCCTTCCTATGGTGGGTCTTGGCCTGGTCGTCTGTGGTCTTACTCTTCACGCTTCTCCATTGCATTCCAGGCAGCTCTTAAACACATCATCCTGAGTCCCCAACAGCGCTGTGTGTTGTGCAAGGGAAACCCTCTATTACAGAGTCATAAAATGGGGATGTCTCTTTGGGAGCCCCAGCTTAATGGCTCTCAACCATGGTTATACGTTAGAACCAGCTGGGGGAGGATCAAAAGGGCCAGGGCTATCTTTGGGGTGTTTGAATGTACTCAGCACCTAATCAATCAGATTGCTTAGCTGCTGAGGTGAGGAACCAGGGGAAGGGGTGGCTGGGAGGTTATCGGAAGTTCCCCAAGCCATTCTGCACATAGTCAAACCTGATAACCACTGACAGAGTCCTTGATCAGGAACGCTGGGGAAGGCTATGTGAGTCTAGCTGAGCTTTGGGGTTCTGTGTATGCGTGGGCAGGGGGTGTGCCCATTTTTCTAAAGAGAAAATCTAAACGTTCATTGAGTTCTCAAAAGATATCCTAGGACCCCGTGAGTGTAAAGGACCCCTGGTGTAAATCAGCCTCTTCCTCTGTACGGTGAGGAGTATGGGTCCAGCAGGAGGGGCGGGGCTAGGCAGAGCATCACCCTGCCTCAGCTCTATCTGCTCTAGTGTGCTGGACAATGAACCTCAGTGGCCCTTAAATTCCTCCTCAGTATCAGGATAACACAAGCTTGACTTAAAGGCTTTTGGAGAAGCCCTACGACGTTCCTAAAATAGCAAGCCCACAGAAGGCTTTAGTCACTGCCACCAGCACGGTGACTAAATCCCCCTATACTTGCCACACTATTTCTGATAATGCCATTAAAGTAAATTAAAAATAGCTGGAAACTCCTTTATCTTCCAGTACCCGAGATTGCAACCAAGACTTGTGCGTGCTTGGCTTTACCACTGAGGTATATCCCCAGATGCAAAAATAAAAAGCAGTCCCACTTGTTGGGCAACTTCAACTTTGTGCCAGATGGCTTATATGGCATTTTATGCATGTTTACAAGAAGCCTGTGAAATTGTCCCTGTTCTTATTTCTACCTGAAGCTTAGAGATGGAGGATAGATAGACCCAAGGCCACATAGATAGCTAAACCGTGGAGCCCACTTAGACCACTGCACCACCAGGTTGTGTAGTAAGGCCAATCCAGGGACAGGTGAGATGGCACCTCATGTGCTTTGGGTTGGCAGGAAGTCTGGATCTCCCAACCAACCCTGTCTTTCCCTCCTTGCCCTTTTCCAGCCGCTACTGGCGCAGGTGGAATAGATTCTGCAGAAGGAAGTGCCGCGCGGCAGTTAAGTCCAACGTCTTCTACTGGCTCGTGATCTTCCTGGTGTTCCTCAACACGCTTACCATTGCCTCTGAGCACTACAACCAGCCCCACTGGCTCACAGAAGTGCAAGGTGGGCAGCCCCTGGCTTTGTACTGTTCACACTTGCCAGCCGAGCTCCGGGTCCTGAGGAGGAATGAGTTATTGGTGGGAGGTGACAGACAAGCAGCCGGTGACTACGGCTTGACTGGTGCCATGCTGGAAAGTCCTAGGGCCTGGAAGTTTGCAAGCCCCGTATTAAAATTCAGGCCCTTGTTTTAAACAGATGTAGCCCTTCAAGTCCTGATGTGCCTCTCGCCCTCCCCTGCAACCATGGTCATCACTGAGTCCCAGTAACAGGACAGCTTATCTGACTGTTTCAGACCCTCAGCTGCCAGCTTTCCAAAAGCCATTTTCAGTTCCTCTGGCCTTACTGTAGCTCCAGGTAGCTTTCCCCAGACCATAACAAGAAGCAGAGCCTTGACAAGGGACAGTAGCCCCAGAGGTTAGCTAAGTAAGACCCCTTGTCGTGCCTGGACCCCTCTGAAGAAATCCATAACCCAAGCCTAAGCATCTCTGGGGAGTGAGGCAGATACAGGGAAGGCAGCCTACTCTCAGCTTTGGCTACTGACTCGGACGGGTCACTGACCCTTCTGCACCTCCTGTTTCCTCTCTAAAGATTGGGTTTAATAGAAACAGCACCGCGCCTCTCGAGTTTCTCTGGGGATTAAGGAGGACAACATATGCTAAGCCTCTAATGCGTGGTGGATGTTCGGTGCATGGTTATAATGTCGGAAACTGGACCTAATTGTTCTTTCAGAAGTATCTGGGAGAGGTCTCCTGGGAAGGGAGGGAAAGGAGGGATGGGGAGTAGGCCTTTTTCTCCAGCTATGACAGTAACTGTTTTATGTTTTCCCTCCTCTTCCTCTTTGCTCCTCTCGGCTCCTTGCTTGAATCCCACCCCTGACCTACACCGCCAGACACAGCCAACAAGGCCCTCCTGGCGCTCTTCACTGCGGAAATGCTCCTGAAGATGTACAGCCTGGGGCTGCAGGCCTACTTTGTGTCCCTCTTCAACCGCTTCGACTGCTTCATCGTGTGTGGGGGCATCCTAGAGACCATCCTGGTGGAGACCAAGATCATGTCTCCCCTGGGCATCTCTGTGTTGAGATGCGTGCGCCTGCTCAGGATCTTCAAGATCACCAGGTGTGTGGCTCCTCGCTTCCCTTTGGGCATGCACTCAGAGGCTCCTGGAAGGCCAGGGAGGATGGCCTGGATGCGGGAAGAGCTGCAGGTTCTGGAATGGTCTAGTAGTCTCTGACTGTCTGCAGCAAGGGGAGTTGTGGCTCATGTGCCAATCAGAAATGCCCTTAGCTGCAGATTGCTGTCGTTCAGCTTGGTTGCATTTGTTCTGCTGTGTGACTAGGAGTCCAGAAGTAGATAACCAGGTGGCTTTAGGAAAACATCAGGGACTTGGTCACCTCCTGTCATTGGCTTGTAGGGTCTAAAATGGCTTCTGGGCATTGAGGTCTCATCAATTCTCTGGAAAAGCAGAAAAGGGTCTGCTTCTTTGCTCCCCCAGATCTCAGGCAGACCCATTGTTAGAGATGCTATTCAAAACCAAACAAGGCAACAAACATCAAATGTGAGGGAAGACATGGAGAGCTGGGGACCCTGGCACTCTTGGGGTGTTTTTGTGGCTTCTCTTAATGCTGTAACCAAATGTCTGGCAAGGGCATCTTAAAAAAAGAAGGCTTTAGTTTGGCCCAGGGTCCAACAGGTGGGAAGATGTGACACCCAGAGTGTGGGGTGGCCGGGCACAGTGCAACTGCAGTCAGGAAGCACAGCAGGACGGGATGGACACTGTGCTCACTGCCCCACTCAAGATGCCCCCCACTCAGTTAAACCTCTTTGCAAAAAAACCTCATAGATATGCCCAGAGGTTTGTATCCTAAGTGGTTCTAAATCTCCCCAAGTTGACAGCCAAGGTTAACAGACTTGTGGTAGAAATGGGCAATGAATGGTCCAGCTACTGTGAAATACAGAGCTGCCATTTCTCAGCTGATTAACAGTAGAATTACCGAGTGCCCCAAAACTTTACTTCTGGGTATTTACACACAGCATTAAAAGCCAGGTCCTGAAGTGATGTTTAGAATGACGTCATTTACAAGAGCCAGAATGCAGAAGTGTCTGAAGTGTCGCGAGAATGGATGGAAAATAGCATTTACAGCCCACGGAACACTTCTAAGCTTTTAAAGGACAGTTTTTATGCCTGGTACCACATGGATGAACTTTGGGGACATTGTGCTGGGTGCAGTAAGCCAGTCACAAAAGACAAACGCTGTTTGATTGCGCTTATTTGAAGTTCTCAGTCATAACATCAGAATCACAGGGGCTGAAAGCAGGGCAGTGACTTAAGGGCAAAGGGCAGGGAGCAAAGGTGGCTGCCATTTAAAGACCAGAGCTTCAGCTCTAGAAGATGTAAAGAATCCTAGAAATGGATGCTGCACACTATTAATGTATTTAATATCCTTGAACTGTAAGCTTAAAAGTGGGTGAGGTGGAAATTGTAGATTTTATGTGTTTTAACACAATGAAAATGTTGGGGATAATGGACCGCTGAGATGGCTCAGTGGGGCAAAAGTGCTTACCGCTGAGTCTGACACCCTGAGTTCAGTCCCTGAGACCCACATAGCAGAGGAGAGCACTGGCTCTAACTTCCATACATGCGTACTTGCTCTCTCTCAATAAGCCAAGTTAAAACTTGAGGGGCAACAAGACTGTTCAGCATGTCAAAGCCTACCCCCAGGTCTGAAGCCCTGACTCTGAGCCTGGTAAACCACGTGATGGAGGAAGAGGGGCAACGCTGGCAGGTTGTCCTCTAACTTCCACATGTTTCCTTAATTTTTTAAAATGAAAAAAAAAATCTCTTCCAGAAATCTCATCAAAGAATTTTCTGGTCTCATTGGCTGTTCTTGTTATTAGGAAAAGCTGAGAAATGGGTCTCTCTGACAGGCATGGGTAGCTACAGATGCACAGAGATGGCCAACTCTGAGTCAAGATGGTACGAATTACATCTCAGGGGGCTTTGGTCTGGCCTCACACACACACACATCCGTCTGTCCATTGGCCCATCCATAGACTGTTCATTCTCACCGCAGGGCAGAGACTAAGGAGGAGGGAATAGCGGGAGTACAGGGAATGAGTGGGCAGCCTGTCCAGGTCAGGGAAATTGATTTCACCCTGGCCTGGTAAAATCAATTTGCGGTCTGACATCATCATTTAAAAACTATTTTATTAAGATTTAACTTTTCACTTCTCTGTATCGGATTCAGAGTTTTGCAATCATTACATTCTGATTTAGAACATTATCATCACTCCCCAAAGAAACTTCATACACGTTTCTCCCCCAATCCTGACTCCATGCTAGCCACTCCTCAGTGTTTGGATTTGTCTATTACGACAAACATCCTGAGGAAGAAATCTGGGATACAACAGTGTATTGTGGACAGTGTTACATTGGATGTAATAGTAAACAATGTGATTATTTGTGTCTAGCTTCCTTCACTTAGCTTAGTGTCTTCAGGGTATATCCAGGTTTTAGCGTGGATCAGAACTTCCGCCTATTCTTGGTGAAGAGGATTCCACGGCACAGCTATCTCGCACACCATGGTCATTCCTCTGTGATGGACATGGAGTTGAGCTACCTTAGAATGCCTGTGTTAACGTTTGTATTCCAAGTTTTTACAGAGATGTATAATTTTCATTTCTTTTGGATATATATCTAGGAATGCAACCTCTGGGTTATTCAATAAACCCTTTATAAGATTTTGAGAAATGATAAATTTTTTTTAGAGAGGTCAGACTATTTTACATTCTCGCCAGTGATGTACAATTTAAGGGTTCCAGTTTCTCCGCTACTCATACAAACTGTTCTCTCTTTGTTTGTTTGTTTGTTTGGTGTGTTTTTTTGGTTTATTTGAGGTTTTTTCTTTTTTACCTATTTTATTCTTAAATGACAGATGGTAGTTTACATATTTATGGAGCACATCATCTTACTTTAAATACATATGTCTTTCTGCCAAAAAAAAAAAAGCATTCAAAATCCTCTCTACGAAACATTTTGAAATGTTCAGTTCACTGTTGTTGGCAGTTGTTCTGTTCTGTGTTAGGGGCATCGGAGGTGACTGTACCTTCCACTACCGTGCTGTGATCTGTCCTTCCCTGGCTTTCCCTCTCTGCCCTGGCTGCTACCTCGATGTTCTACGTGTCTTTGAGATGGGTGTTTTAGGCCCCACCTACAAGTGAACCTCATGTCCTCATGGCACTTTCTCCTGTGCCGGACAGACTGTAACATCCTCCAGCTCCCTCCACAATGCAGCAAATGACAGAGTTTTAGTCTTCCTTGTTTTGACCATCGCTTTCAATAAAAGAATGAGATTGACTGGAAAAACACCCGAGGGCCTCACAACCCCATGAACATCATTTCATAAAAGCCTTTGTGATACCCCGCCCCCCCGCCGGTTGTCAGTGTAATACATATGTGTGAAGTGAGATGTGGTCAACTTCAAAAATGTATTTAAGGGCAGTAGCTGGAGGGAGTCTTTCAACCCTCCTCCAGGTAGAAGTCCCCAGATCCCTTCGTAATCTGCTTTGTGGGCAATCTCTGGAAATAAGAGCATCCAACCGCTCACTTGGATTGTGTTGGAGACTTGTGTTTCCAGGTCAAGGACAAGCACGTCACAGCTCACCCAGGGTGTTTCTCTGAGTGAGTCACCAGGCGCGGTGAAGCGTCCTTGCTGTCACTATCCTTACTGCAGTTTTCTGAGCAGCCATCTGAATGCACAGTGTCGTTGAGGCTCCAGTGAGAGGCGCATGTCTTCAAGTTCAGGGCTGGCATCAGGGCCTTTTGTCTGCAGTCCAGTCAGCACTGTTACTGTTCTTAGAGAAGGACAGTGAGGTCATGAGACCTCACGCGTGGACCAGGAGGTCTGGATGCTTTGAGAGGCAGGGCTCTCCGTGAGTTCTCTAAGGATCTCAGCAGCTCTAAAGCCACAGAAACTGCTATTAAAGTGCCTGACTAGTAGGAAGACTCGGGGAGTTATCCTCCGGGAGATCTGAGAAGGAGAAACACACTTGCTTAACAGAAGAGCCACACACGGGTGTCCCATTGCCAAGCTCGGCTGGCAGGTTCACAGGGCCAACACCCAACCCATATTCTAAGCATTTCAGGTCTGAGGTTGGAGACAGGTTCTCAGGAAGCAGGAGTTTCCCCAGCAGGTGACACGCTGCAGAGAAAGCCTGTCTTTTATTCCCTTCCCGCTGTGCACATGTGAACATCTAAACGTACGCCTTTCCAGATGATTTGGGGCCTGAAGAAGTAGCCTCCGCTTAGACAATGGAGTTATTCTGCTTCTGGACTTTTTTAGGCCCGCAAATGCTGTTCTGTCTTCTATCGTGGGGCTCTGGGATGCCCTCTGGTCAAAGCAATTTTTAAAGAGTTGTTTCTTGTCAGTATTTTCACAGTGAGAATACACAAAATAGTTAAAAGAGAATCAATGGGCAATCACTCCAAGATCGTATAACAATATCTAGCAGTGAAGTTCTTTTTCTAAATAAAACTAAAAAGCAAAACAAAATCCATACCTCTAACATGGGCCATGTGAGAATTATTTAAGAGGCAGCGAAAACTTGTAAGTTAAAAATAGTGTTTATCAGACCTCAGGAAAATCAAATATGGTGACCAGTTGTCTAATAAGAGTCAGTATGAACACAGTTCGCTAAGTCCTATCTTGGGACTTAAACGATACAGCCTGCCCCGTTGGCTCTGCAGCTCGCTGGGATCCAGAGGATGCTCTGAGAGACAGACCCGCCCTTCACTGTCTTTAGTGTGATACCTAAGCAGTGCAACCTTGGGCAAATGGCCTAACTCTATACCCAGTCATCTCATCTGGAATCAGCCCTCTTCCCATCCTTTGAGGTCATTAGGCTGAGATGCTCTACGGGATGTCAGCATCAGGACCACCCTCTCTAACACACAGTGTGCCGTAGTGCTTGTCAGCATCTATTGCACTAGCGTTTCTATTGCGCTTGTTATAAACCAAAATACTCTTGTTGTCACCTGTTCCTCCCCTGCAACTGCCTCCCTCACTCTCGAATATGCCATTAGATCAACTTTAGAAGACACACCCACCCTAAAACATGAC